GTCGTGCTGCGCGCGGCGCGCTTGGGCCGGGAGGCGCCCGCAGCCTGGGGCGGGGGGCTGCAGGCCCCGGAGGGAATCGGCCTTTGTCTGTGCCCCCCGCGGGATCGCGGCGGCCCGTGGTTCCCCGTGGTGTTGGCGATTGCGCCCAGCGCTTTCCGGTCCTCACGGAATGCGCAGATGGAAGCCTGGAGAATGCTCGTTCTGAGACACCATGTTGCAGCGGCGGGCCGTAAACAGTGGAACTGAGCGGGGCGTGGGGGCGGGCGTCAATTGTTCCATTCTGTCTGGATTGTTAATGTCAAGTTTAGGTAGAGGGTGTCAGCGCCTCAGCCATATTTACGCCTTTTAGCCTAACCTTTGCCTTGGCCCCTATGGGCTGCTCAGCTGGTCCTAGTGCCCACCTTCTGCTGTTTGTTTTTCCTGTATATTGAACAGGCATGCCCAAAAGGTCCTCCGGGCCTTTGCTTTGAAAGGATTCCTAGAATCGGGTGCAGGACACAGGAGCAGCAGACCAGAGTCGCCCCTTGTGTGACACACCTGACAAGAATTGACTCGAGTCTTTGTCAGGTAGAAGGAGGCTGAGATGGTGGATCTTCGTCAAAGATGTTGCTTTGTGTTTGCAGTGGCAAAATCCTGCTGTAGCTCATACTTGACCCTCCTCCTAACCTTGTTTTTGAACGCTGACTCAGACCTGCTGACTAGTGGAAGTTCACATCCTTTGAGAATTACAGTCACCCTCTGCCCTGTGTTTGGACCAAGACCTTTGTCCTGAGATCACATCTGAGTTTTGCATATCCCTGTGGGCTGCAAGTTACTTTGGGGATTTAGAACTTGCGCTGTTTCTTACAGCACAGAAGTTTGACCCTTGGGTGAAAGTTGACTTTGCTCCCTTACCTGGTGATAGGTTATAGTGCCTCCTGCGGCACACTAGGGCAGTTATAGTAAATAGATTTTGTAGTAAATTCCAAAGAATTATCATTTCTGCAGATTTAAGCAGAAACCAGGTTTCAGGGTTTAGTCATGTTCAGAGTATACTAATCAAACATGCCATGTCTTAAATTTTTGAAGAAACATTTGGGGAGGGGAGCGGCTCTGATGTGCCGCTGTGCCCTAGTGGAGCTCAGAGGACTTTCCAGAGTCAGTGTTTGTTCCATTGTGAGTTACTGGGATTGAACTCCGGTCACCATGCTTGGCAGCAAGTTCCTTTGCCTGATGAGCCTGCTCCCCATTTTCTCAACTCCTAACGGAACACTGCTGTTTGTCTTTCCTTCTGTTGCTGCCTTAAGACCCTGGGCCTGCACTGCAGAGACGGCTCAGCTGTTAAAGGCTGGACTCACAACCTAGTCACACCACCCTCATGGGTGGGGTGCAGTTTACAGGAAGTCAGTCTCAAGTCTGGGACATTTTCAAGATATTACTTCTTGCCAGGCATGGTAGTGTTCCCCTTTAATTCTAGTACTCGAAAAATAAACAAAAAAATTACTTTTTTTCTGTATAGAACTTTTAATATTTAATAATATAAATTTCAACAATATTCCTAAGATTCCTTATGATAGTTTGAAAAGAGGTCCATAAATAACTGACTGCCTAGGCTGTTTTCTCTTTGCTTACTAAGGAGCCTCATTATAACGGCCATAAAAACTGAATGAAGCAACTTTTGAGGGGGAAGGGTGGTTCTGTGACAGGGTTTCCTCTGTGTAGCCTGGCTGTCTGGGAACTTGCTCTGTAGTCCAGGCTAGCCTTGAACTCAGAGATGGCCTGCCTCTGCCTCCCAAGTGCTGGGATTAAAGGTGTGCATCACACCAGGCCAAAGGGAGCAATTTTAATTTACAAAATTTTGTTAGGCAACAGAAGGACCAGTTCTATAAAAACAAAAAGTAAATATGACCTTTGTTTTGCGGTGTTGAGAGAATTGAACACACAGTAGGTAAGCATTCTTGCCGAACTTCTCCAGACACGAATCAAGTTTTTATTGTTGAAGTGCACCAATAAATTGAGTTTGTTCAGGACCATAGGTGTGAACAGCTAGTCGATGCCAGCTTTAGAACTTAAAGTCTATATTGTTAGCTGTTCGTGGTGGCAAATGCTGGCCACCCTCTGCTACGTACTGAACTCTACGCAGGCCAGCCTTAGCTAGATGGTAAGACCCTGTAAATAAAGTGTTCAGGGTGTAAAACTGAAATAGTCTTTGAATTTATAAATTGTTAGGATCTTATGTGATTGTGTACATTTTGTTGATTTGAGGATTTTGTTTGATTTTTATTTATTTATTTATTTATTTATTTATTTATTTATTTATTTGAGACAGGGTCTCTGTGTGTCCTGGCTTTTCTAGTGCTTGATATGTCGGCTCGGCTCTGCCTCTGAGCGCTGAGCGCTGAGATTAAAGCTTGGGCAACCACGCCTGGGGCTTTTTGTTGACGTTAATGTTAACTATGAAACTAAAAATTTACAGGATATATCAGGCACTTCTGTGCCAGGTTTTAACTTCTAAAATCTTGTATAGGCTAAGATTGGCCAACATTAGCTAGTCTTATATTGTCAAGTATAGTATGACTAAGAGTTTTCAGTCAGGGGTGGTGGCGCACACCTCTATCTCAGCACTTGGGAGGCTGAGGCAGGCGGATCTGTGAGAGTTTGAGGCCAACCTGGTCTACAAGAGAGTTCCAGTATAGCCAGAGCTACTTAGAAAGATCCTGTCTCAAAACAAAAACTAGTTTTTAGACAGGCATGGTAGTACCTATAACATTTAGAGGCTGAGGCAGGAGAGTTACGAGTTTATAACTAGGGTGAACCAGGCTATAAAGCAGGACCTGGTCTCACACTAACAAAAGTTTTTACCTCGTGTCTATCAACTGGAACCGTAAAAGGCATGGATGGTGAAGGTCATACAACTAACCATTCCCAGGCTCACTGTTTGGCAGACCTTTCAAGTGCCTATGGAACATTATTTTAAATCCACTGTATTAAGTTACAAATCTCCGTACATTAAAAATGAAAGGGACTGCAGGTGCCTCGGAGGTTAAGAGCATATATTGCTCGTCCAGAGCATATGCCTGCCTTGGATTCCTAGCGCCCACATCAGGTGGCTCAGCCCATAGAACTCTAACCACCAGGGTCCTGATAGCCTGCACTCGTGCATAGACCCTCACACACACACACACACACACACACACATGCACACACACATAGTTTAAAAAATGAAAGGGAAGTAATATTGTCTCATTCTGTAGAGGTTTGGAATCACATCAGATGTCCAAATTTTTGTTTTGGAACTGGGGAGGTGGGGCAAGAGTGTTGGCAGTCAGTGAAGAGTTGGTTCTTGGTTGGGTATAGGGACATTAACAACTGGTTACTGTGCTCAAGGAAAGGGGAACAAATACAGTTAGACGTGAGTATAGAAATTAAGCCAGATTTTTTTTTCTTTTAAGGAAATGCAACTATCAATATTGACTCCAGAAGAGAGAAGGTTAACAATGGAAGACGTTGGGAAGGTTATCAGAAAGCTGTCGTCATCAATGCCAGGCTCGGTCGATGTCACAGGTGAATTCTTATAAACTTTGAAGTACTAAATAGTGATGCTAGCATTTAAATTGTCCCACAGTGTGATGAAAGACCACGGATTTGCTCTTAGAAAGCCAGTGGAACAGCTTCTGGAACTTGATGTAAAAAATCAGAAACGGGGGTCTCTGGGGAACAGTGGTGGGAAGTGGAAGGCAGAATGCTAACAAGTGGACGTTGGGAGGTTGGCTGCGTGGCAGAGTCCTAGCTCGGCATCCACCGAAAAACAAAACAAAAGATCTTGGCAAATGCTGTTTAGCTGAAGGACATTTGGTCGCCCCCACGTGCTGAACTGGGGGCATAGCCTTTGACAGTGCTGTGACTTTCCCCTCTGTGCAGGGCTGAGCTGCATTATCAGCCCTGCTTTATCTCTTTTGACTTTTTGATGGTGCAAAAGTAATACGTGTTTAATAGGAGCTGAACCTTAAATGATTTTCACTGGCTAGTGATCTGAGTGGCGTTTGCTTCTTTGCTAATGGCAGGAACAGTGAGCCACAGCTCCCATTAGCTACACAATCACAGCAGCAGCCAGTACTCCCTTGCTAAAATATGGTGTTCGCTAGGTTAGGTGTTCCAACTCTCTACAGGGACTGGGGGTAAAGCCCAGTGGTTGACCATGTGAATGGCATGCATGAAGCCCTGGGTTTAATCCCTAGTACCAAAAATAGATAAATGCATTTCTGACCTATTTTTATCTCATAATGGATTTATGAGGATACAACCTAAAGAACATCTTTACATCAAATAAATACTTCAGAAAAGGACAGTAACATAGTTCAGCCTTGTTGACTACCTTCTGTACTCCAGACCACTTAAGGGTGCTCTCCATGTATTAACTCAATGAGTTGAGCCAGTCTCTGAGGTAGGTAACTTCTGTGTCTCATAAACAAGGCAACCGTGACTTGCCAAAGCTCACAGGTACATGTGTGGTAGAACTGGGATTTTGATCCAGACAACTAGTAGGATCTAAGGCTCTGATTCCAGTATCTCTGTGACCATTTCATAGCTACCTAAAAGCATTTGACCAAAATTCAAGGTCAGTTCCAATTGTAACTGCAGGAGAAGGTAGTGGAGGCAGGAACTCCTAATAATTCCCCTGCGTTTGCTATGTTCTGTCACACATCTACAGCTGCTGACTCTTCTCTGGGCCTGGGCTCTGCCTTCTGCTTTCTCTTTGATGGTTTGTGTTTGTTTGTTTGTTTTAAATATTTATTTATTTATTATGTTCTGTACTGTATATATGCTTGCTGGCCCAAAGAGGGCACCAGATCTCATTACAGATGACTGTGAGCCACCATGTTTGCTGGGAATTGAACTCAGGACCTCTGGAAGAGCAGTCAGTGCTCTTAACCTCTGAGCCATCTCTCTAGCCCTGTTTGTTTTTGAGACAAGGTTTCTCTGTGTAACAACCTTAACTGTCCTGGAACTAGCTCTTATAGAGTAGGCTGGCCTCGAACTCACAGAGATCTGCCTGCCTCTGCCTCCCGAGTGCTGGGATTAAGGCGCGTGCCACCACTGCCTGGCCTTTTTAATATTTTTGTTCTGTTAGCGGTTTCCAGCAGCATAGTGTGACATTGGAAGAAAAACTTAAAGAATTTAAGAGGCTTTTGTTTTTGTTCAAATCAAAGGCCTAGATTGTTTGTCTGACCAGTTTCATTTCATGGACACTGTGCAGTGCGGCTTAGGTTTGTACCTTCCCACCTCTTGGGTGGTGCTGCTGTGAGCACGGGTTACATCCCTGCAGCTGAGATGCCGACCCTTTGGCAGTTCTGTGTGGAATTTACCTGTGCTGTTGGCCTTCGCACTGCACCGTTTTCCAGTCCCACTAATAGTGCACCAGAGATCCTGTCACAGCCCTCTAGTGCTGGGTTTGGTGGTGTTGGGTTTTGTGGCCTTTTTAAAGTGTATTTGTGTTTATGTGCGTGCCATGCCCTGATGTGCCTGGGGACGTCAGAGAACAACTTTTGGGAATGAGTTCTCTCCTTCCACTTTGTCTCTGAGGTGTGGTCTGACCAGCTACTCCAGGCAGCTTCTCTTTTCAATGTTTACAATAGTGGTTCTCACCCTGGGGTTACAACCCCTCTGGGGGTCAAACGACCCTTTCTCAAGGGTTGAATATAAGATATCCTACATATCAGATATTTACATTATAATTCATAACTAGCAAAATTACAGTAATGAAGTGGCAATGAAATAATTTTATGGTCGGGGTTTACCACATGAAGTAGCAATGAAATAATTTTATGGTTGGGGGTCACCACATGAGGAAAACTTTAATATGAGGAACCACATTAAAAGGTCGCAGCCTCAGGGAGGTTGAGAACCACAGTTCCAGTGGATTCTTCTGCCCCTGTCTCAAGTCCTTAGCTCACTTTTAAATTGGATTCTTTACTATTTTGCTGCTGATTTGTTAAATGTGGTCTCTTAATATAAGAGAAGTAATCTATTTCTAAATATAAGGGCCTTTGAGAGGTGGCTCCATGGTTACGAGGGCTTGCCACCCTTTCAGAGAGCAGTCCCCGGTTCCCACGTTGGGGGCTCACAGCGACCTCTGACCCCAGTTCCAGGGGATGATCCAACATACTCTGCTAGCCTTCCAGGCACCTGCCAGCAAGTGCATGCAACTGCATACACGTGTACATAGGTAAATAACACAGTAGGGCATGGCGAAACATCTTTTTCATCCTAGCACTCAGGAGGCAGAAGAAGATGGACTCTGAGTTCAAAGCCAGCCTTATCTATAGAGTGAATTCCAGAACAGCCCGGACTACACGGTGAAACCTTGTCTTAGGAAATAAAAACAAAAAAAGCCAGGTGATGGTGGCGCATGTCTTTAATCCCAGCACTCAGGAGGCGGAGGCAGGCAGATCTCTGTGAATCCGAGGCCAGCCTGGTCTACAAGAGCTAGTTCCAGGACAGGCTCCAAAACTACAGAGAAACCCTGTCTTAGAGACAGAGAGAGAGAGAGAGAAGATGTAGTATGGAGGGTTGCTTTTTGGTTCCTGGCTGCCTGGCTAGCTTAGCCCTGAAATAATCACACACAAGCTGTATTAATTAAATCACTGCTTGGCCCATTAACTCTAGCTTCTTGTTGGCTAACTCTTTTTTTTTAAAAAAAAATAATTTATTATGTATACAGTATTCTGTCTGCATGTATGCCTGAAGGCCAGAAGAGGGCACCAGACCTCATTACAGGTGGTTGTGAGCCACCATGTGGTTGCTGGGAATTGAACTCGGGACCTTTGGAAGAGCAGGCAGTGTTCTTAACCTCTGAGCCATCTCTCCAGTCCTTGGCTAACTCTTATATATTAATTTAACCCATTTCTGCTAATCTGTATATGGCCACGTAGCTGTGGCTCACCAGCTAAAGTTCCAGCGTCTGTCTCCGGAGGGGCTATATGGCATCTCTCTGACTCCACCCCTCTTTCTCCCAGCATTCAGTCCTGTTCTCCCTGCCTGGCTCTGCTGTGCCCCACCCTGGTCTGCTATAGGCTTCTTTGTTCATTTATGGTAATCACCACATACAGAGGGAAATCCCACATCAAAAAGAAAATTTAAAAATACTAAAAATGTAAAGTATAGTCAAATTACTGTTTTGTCCCCTCGGGTTGTAGGGATGGTCTTGAGGTAGAACCTTGCTTTATAACTGAACTGGCCCCAAGCCTGCAGTTCTGCTTCAGCTTTCTGAGTGCTGGGATGACAAGGAGCTGCCAGGCCTAGCTAGAGCCAGCTAGTTGACCGTTTTTGCTTTAAATGTTTTTAAGTTACATTTCTATTTATCTCGTGTGAGGGTAGCACACATGTTATGTGAAGGTCTGAAGACAACTTGCGGGAATCCATTCTCTCCTTCCACCATGTAGGGTCCAGGGATCAGACTCGGGCCATCGGGCTTGGTGGCAGGCACCCTACCTGCTGAGCCAGCTCCTAGGCCCTGTCTTTTGTTTTTGGAGGGAACTTGGGCTTGGTGACTGGAAGGAAACAGACATGCAGCTAGCTCTTGGCGTCCTCTCGGTGAGAGCCAAACTCTCTATGTATCTTCAGATCTCCATCTCACTGCAGACATACCCACTGTGAACCCCGGGCAGCTCTCCAAAGCGATGCCGTGTGTGGTAGCAAGGGTGGAGACTGTTACAGACATCATCAAAGTATTCTGGCCAAAGTATTCTGCCAGGTCCTGGTTATATCTTGAACAATGAGGACCATTGAGGCTATTTTTCCTTTTTCACATAAAAAACTAGAAAAAATACTTTATAGTTTGAAAACTAAATATATGGAAAATAGAACATAGTACATACTTTAACCTCATTTTCCTATAAGCCTTGGCAGCTTGTCCCGTCGGGCCCTTAGTTGTCCTCGGCATTAATACACACACTGTTATGGACTTGCTCACTTGGCAGACTCGCTGATTAGTCCATGGCTTTATTGTCTTGGAGGGTTCAGTGCCTAACGGGAGACCAGAGTTCACAGGTACGAAGTAAACGTTAAACAAGTTGAGTGAACGGCATGGTTCACTGCTGTATCTCCTGGAAGAACTTTTGTCCTGTTGTTCGTTTTGCTTTGTTTTTTTGAGTCAGGGTCTCACTAGAAGCCCTAGCTGGCCTGAAACTAGGCTGACCTTTTGACTTCCAATGCCCCTCCTACCTGGTTCTCCAGTGCTGGGGTTACAGATGAGCCCGTGGCTCCCGGGAGAAGTGTGAGTCTGTTTCAGTAGACTGATGAGTGAGCTGTAGCGTGGGGTGGAACAGCCAGTGTTTAGGAACTGTGCCCAGTGGTTCTGGTATCCCTTGTTTCAGGACTCTCTAAATTTTTTAAAGAGTTGTTGTGAACTTCAGAAAGCTTTTGCTTATATGGATTGACATTTAAGTTTTAGGGATTAAAATGAATTTTAAATAGTAATTACTGTTAACAAAGCAATGATAAACCTATGGCCTGCTAATATCACATTTTTATGAAAAATGACCGTTGCATTCTGTGCTCTCTTCATTTCCATGAGGCAAATGTGCTTTATAATTTTCCATACAGCCTTCCTGTCTGGCTGAGAGATAGATGGAGTCTTCTGTCTGTTTCTTCATTCAGTCTGCTGTAAGGGCTGCTAGGGTGGAAGTGATCACAGAATAGCCAGTCTCACCCCCGGCATGGTGGAGTAGGCGTTAATTTTAGTACTCAAGATTGTGAGTTGAAGGCTGGTCTGGGCTATGTATATAGCAAGACTCTCTCTCAAAACTACATCAGCAACAACAAAACCCCACAGAAAACGTCTGATCTGCTGTGCGGTGTGCATGTGTAGGAGCAGCACGCGACTGAACCCCATCAGTTATACAATTAGCAAAAGTCATTTTGTTTTTAGTAATAGTCCAGCTTTAAAGGGAAGACATCGAGTCTGGAAATTGGAGAAGGGATTGGGGCGAGTTTGTGTCTCACTCTTTGTAACACCTTCGTCATTGATTACCTATAGGTTAAAACGTTTTCCCAGAGAAGAAAGACCGTAAGCACCATGATGGACTCAGAAGCGCATGATAAGAGGCCCCCAATGTTGACCTCTTCAAACCAGGACCTGTCTCCTCACATCGCAGACGTGGGTGAGGTAAAGCATTACTTCTGTGGCTGCTGCGCGGCGTTCAACAATGTGGCCATCACCTACCCTGTCCAGAAGATCCTCTTTCGGCAGCAGCTGTACGGCCTCAAAACCCGGGATGCGATACTCCAACTGAGAAGGGATGGGTTTCGAAACTTGTATCGTGGGATCCTTCCCCCGCTGATGCAGAAGACAACCACGCTGGCGCTTATGTTTGGTCTGTACGAGGACCTGTCACGCCTGCTCCGCAAGCATGTGAGCGGTGCTCCCGAGTTTGCCACCAGAAGTGTGGCGGCGCTGCTTGCTGGGACAACAGAAGCCGTTCTCACTCCATTAGAAAGGGTTCAGACTTTGCTTCAGGACCACAAGCATCACGATAAGTTCACAAACACTTACCAGGCCTTCCGGGCCCTGAGATGCCATGGAATCGCAGAGTATTACCGAGGCTTGGTGCCTATCCTTTTCCGAAATGGATTCAGCAATATCCTGTTTTTTGGCCTTCGAGGGCCCATTAAGGAGCATCTGCCTACTGCCACCACGAATAGTGCGCATTTGGTCAACGACTTTATCTGTGGAGGTGTGCTGGGTGCCGTGCTGGGGTTCTTAAGCTTCCCAATTAATGTTGTAAAGGCTCGGATCCAGTCTCAGATTGGTGGGCCGTTCCAATCTTTCCCCATGGTTTTCAAGACAATCTGGCTTGAGCGGGACAGGAATCTGATCAATCTCTTCAGAGGAGCCCATCTGAACTACCATCGCTCTCTCATCTCCTGGGGAATAATCAATGCAACCTATGAGTTTCTGTTAAAGATTGTATGATAAGGTCACTATAGGAAATGTTATTCTCCTCCAACTAGACCTAAAGAGAGTGCAGTTTGTCTTTGTTCCTAATTGGCTTAAATACCAGTTGGCATAAGTCAGGCCATAATATATTATGGACAAAGCATTGACAAAACATAAAGGGTTTCAGTGGGCAGATGTCAGGGTTTTGGTTTGCTCATTACTTGAGCTTTAGGCTGTTACCGGGTAACTAGCCGTGTGTCTGATGACCTTTTCAGGGCGGCTGTCAGCCAAGGTAGATTCCTTTTCCTCCCGGAAGCCAGCGGTTGCTAGGCCTTCTGTGTGGAAACGGTGGCATCAGCAGCCAGAGCGTGTGCCCCTGTCCCAGGGCTTCTCAGGCTCACCTTCTCACCTCCTTCACTGCTTCTCCGCCCTCGGGCCATCTTCACTAAACCCCAGCACTGCACGGTGCGGAGTTGTCCGAGTTAGCTCTGAGACTGAGGGCTGTTGAGGCAGCCATTGTCCACACTTTACTTAGATTTGGTAGACTGCGCAGCTAATGACAGCTTTCATTTCCCTGTTTAGCTTTGAACATTTTCTCTTTAATTCAGAATGTGACTTTTAAGCCCTTCCAGAATGTTCCTGTGCTTTTTTTTTTTACTGAATTCATTGCCAAAAGATAGGGTGACCAGTGGGGGCATTGTCCCTTGTGAGTGGTACCTGTCATGTTCGTCTCCTGGTCTCTGGTACTAGACTTTAACAATAAACACTTCCATAAAGTTTTATTTGGGGAGTCTGTTCATACAATTCCAGGTTTTTTTCTTGGTTTCTCAGCCCTGCAGAGCGAGGCGAGCGCAGAGGGCGGATTTGCCCAGTGCTCGCTCTCCTTCTCTTTCTCTGGAAAGAGTTCTTCAGCGTTCTGGCATTCTAGGAGCCGGCTTACCTGTGCCTAGAGCAGCGTGAGGGGTGTGGTCTGAGCGACATAACACCCGGAGCTCAGGGAGGCCTTAACCGCCAGTCGGGGCCAAGAAATCCCGCAGTTATATTCTGGGTACATGGTGTGACAAGACTCACGGTCCAACTGAAGTCACAGCCATTCTGGAGAGGTCACTTATGAATCTTAGTTACATTTCTTTCCCAGGATTTGTCGTGAGAGCCAGCTTGTCTTTTTTCATGGTGCTGGGGATTGAACCTAGGACCTTGCACGTCCTAGACAAGTGCTTACCCACTGAGCTACACTCCAGCCTCCCCGCTTTTTTTGTTTTTGTATTTGAGACAGGGTCTCAACATGTAGTCCGGACTGGTCTTGAACTTACAGAGGCCCACCTGGCTCTGCCTTCTGAGTGTCAGGATTAATTAAAGGCATGAGCTGCCATCCCTGGCCTCTCCGATCTGTAAAGGTTTCTCCCAGCTTGGCCTCGCTCTGGCTGACTGCATCCAAGCGCGTACCCCACAAACTGAAATCAGACCCTCCACTGGAGTTTGCTCAGTTTCTGGGGCAGGTAATCTAGAACAGCTGTTCCCTCTAAGGACACTAAAGCTGGTTAAAGACAGTAAACATCCTCCTGGCTAGGAAGATTGGGAGCATGGTGAGCCCTGGGGTGGCGGTAATGGAACAACACTGAATGAAGGATTGTGTGCGCTGCAGCCATAACGCAAGTGCGTGCAGGTGCGAGGGTTCGGAAGACAAGGATTTGACCCAGATAAGTCTGAGTGGTGCCGTGGCTTCAGTTAAGATGAGGAGGGGGTGAACTTTGGCGCCGTGACCTCTGACCCCAAGTTGACACGTGCAGCATGGCAGCGCAGGGCCGGTGCGTTCATCAGGAACGGCACCTTGGCCCCAGCCGTGAACTTCATGGGCCGCCAGTGACAGTGTTTCCTTCGCACTCCATGCCAGTGGTAGACGTTGTAAGCACTCCTGTGTCGTACATGGGCATTAGAAGGGTAGGCTCTGGCTTTCGCTGGCTCAATTACGTGGCGTCTCACAGCAATTATTAAACTTCTCAGTGACTTTTAACTTGAAGCGTTTTTGTCGCTCAGAGCTCTCGAAGACTAAACTGCAGTGTGTTACAGAGACGGCTTTGTCTCCTGTAAATTTAAGCTTGACCAAAAGCTCATACCGTGTAGCCCGCTTTGTCAGAGCTTTTATGCCAGAATGTAATTCATAGGTTCTAACAAGTATGGTGATGTTTTCTACAGGCAACCCTGATTAAAGAACTCTCTGAAAAGCTTTAACGTGGCCCTTCTGTTACACGTGTGGCACAGGTGGCTCATGAGCACAGGACCCGTGTGTCCCGGGCATCTCATCTGATGCCGTCAGAAACGGCGTGAGTGCTGTGAGCCTTCAGGACTGCACTGGTGCCGACACAGCCTTTGCATGGTGGCAGATCGGTGTCTTACTTCATTTGTGGTTAGAGACAGATATTCGTGCCCATCAACATCCGTCTTGTGGTTGGCCGTGTAATCACTTGCTGTCTGTTGTGACCCTGTGCAATAAAGCAGAGTTGTACATATATATAGTTTTATTTGGGTGCCCGAAATTCCTGAGCTCAATTACAATGTGGATCGGGCCGCAAACTTGGAAGGTGCAGAGGGCTGGCTTTGCGTGACTGCCATGGAATGAGCACTGGTTGGGGTGAGACAAGTGCAGTGTGGTCCGGTCAGAGGGGAGGCTACAGACTGTTGGCTGTAATGCACTCTTTCTTGGTTTATGTTAAGTGTATTTTTTCTCATGTACAAATAAATGCATATCAAAAACTTGAATATGTTCTCTTGAGAGTTAAAGATTGCTCGTTTTGTTGTTGTGGTTTCTCTTGTTTTCTCTGTGTAGCTTTGGCTGTCCTAGAACTTGCTCTGTAGACCAGGCTGACCTCAAACTCACAGAGATCCACTTGCCTCTGCCTCCCAAGCGCTGGAATTAAAGGCGTGACAACCACCCACGGCTGATTTCTAGGTTATAATGGTCTTTGCATGCCAAATTGGTGAGGAGGTGGGTCTACAAATTACAAGAAACAAAATAGATTTCTTGTAATATGGGTCTACATATATTTTTATATTAAAAGTGGCAAAATACATATATATATATATATATACATATATATATGGGTCCACATATTCTTTATATTAAAAATGGCCAGACAAAGCTTTGGTTGCTCTTTCGAACTGTGAGTTTGAGTAAATCTGTTAAATATTTGTTAACTTTTGTGGAGTTTGAATACAATTTGGTGTTTTGTGGCTGGGTGGTCTTTTAACTACTGTAAGCACAAATATTAAAACCCCAGAGACAGATATTGGGGTCCATCCTGACGATCTGGAGACAAAGCAGCCAGCCACTGACTCTTACCTCTGCCTCAGACCAAAATAGCCATCCTGCCTCCATGAGTCCTCAGAATGAGACTGAGCTAAGAGCTGTCTCCTCCAGTCTTATATTCCTAGCTAGTGCTAGGAATTAAAGGCATGCACCACCGCTCTGCAGTTAAGTAGTGTGGCTACTAGGATTAAAGGTGCGTGCCGCCACTACCTGGTCCCTGTGGCTGTTTTACTCTGCTCTCAGGGCAAGCTTTATTAAAATACAAATGAGATATCACTACATACCACTAGCACATTACGGGATGTGGTAGAGTAGCCTACCAGTCTTTCTGTGGGTGAGCATTAGCAGGCTGCTCAGCAGCTCACCTGAAGGCTCAGCTAGGGCCACACACATCTTTAGTAGGAGGGCCTGACCGCACCCTTAGTGCAGGGGACTTTCCATTTGTCAGTCATTTCTGCTGTAAAGACTCTCTCTAAACTGTGCTTTCGGGGAAATGGTTGGATGCTTATGCTTTCTCATCTTTGGTCTCCACTGAGGACTTGCTGTCATCAGTAACGGCCTGTGGGCGTGTCTATAAGGACAATTCTTTTTTCTTTCTTTGGAGATGGTGACTCACGGTGTCATCCCAAATGTCCTGGAAACTCACTATGTAGGCCATGTTTGCTGGGACCTCACAGAGATCCACCTGCCTCTGGTGCTGGTATATTTTCTTGATTGTTAATTGATCAAGGGAGGACCCAGCCCACTGTGGGAAGTGCCAAGTGGGCCTGGGCTGTGTGAGGAGCAAAATGTGACCTTGGAAGCAAGCCAATTGGCAACTCTTTCCTGTTTTCCACTTGGGCCCCTGCCTCCGGGCTCCTGCTCGGTCTCCCTCTCCCCCTCCCCCCAGGGCAGACTGGAAGGTCCTTTCGTTCCTCAGGTTGCGTTGGTCAGTGTCTTGTCACATCAGCCAGGAAGCAAACAGCACGTCCAATTTTAAGTTGCCCCCTGACTGGAAAAAACTGAAAGTCCTGTTAAGGGTAGCTAGGTGAGGGAGACTCCGTTCTAGCATTTTAATCTGATTTTTGTTTAGGAACGTGTCATGTAGCTACCCAGTATTGTAAAACAGCCTTTTTAGGGCAGAGCATTCTGGGTACTGAGAGTCCGCACTTAACACAGAACTTTGGCTTCCCAACAAATTCTGAAGGAAAATGGAAAGCTCTTTTTATTGGATGCTGTTTCCTAGGCTGCATTGAGTTGTGTGCACCGCCACCGGCACCGCCACGGCCACCGCCACCGCCCCCAACCAGGAGGGAGGCGTAAGAAATCGACCACAGTCATCCATGTTCAGTAGACATGTGTTGAGTTCGTCAGTGGATCACAGGCAAACGTGGCAGCCGGCCCTTCTTCCTGGCTGGCAGGCGGCACCTGCCCGATGGGGTGCCTGGGCGCTTGTTAGCTTCCCTCCCGCAGGGCTGGAAAGCTTTGGTTTGCTATGGGACTCCAAGCTTCCCTCCCGCAGGGCTGGAAAGCGTTGGTTTGCTATGGGACTCGACTCGGGTGTGAGAAAAAAGGAGCTCTCCCAGCTAGCTTCCCGAGGATGGGATGCTTGGAGCGCTACACAGGCAGGAAGGATTGTCCCTCCCTGAAGAGCCCAGCCGGTGAGGGATTCAAGAGGCAGGAAAATGTAATTAGCAACATAAAAATCACTGTCCTGCACCACAGGGAAATGCCGGTCGTTTTTCCTGTTCTCTAGGCTGACCCCTGACTTGGCAAAGCCGTCAAACTGCTTCACCTTGGCTCACTCTTGAGTCAGCAGCGCTCTTACAAGGAAATGAACCTGGGTGTCGCTCACAGTATGTGAGCTGCACTCTTGGCTTAATCTGCAGGGCTTGAGCCACGTCCCTGACCAGGAGCGTGGGGGACAGGGTCTGTGTCCCAGGTCTTTGAACCCACTAAGGTTCATATCCCATGGAAGACGCAGAGTCTCATCCCAGACATTGTCTTTATTATGTGTCCCTCATTTCAAAGATGGTCTTTTTTATTATTAGAATATTCTGTTGTTGTTTTGTTTTTCTAGGCAGGTTTTCTCTGTTGTTTTGGAGGCTGTCCTAGAACTCGCTCTGTAGACCAGGCTGGCCTCAAACTCACAAAGATCCCTCTGTCTCTGCCCCCCCCCCACCAGTACTGGGATTAAAGGTGTGTGCCCTCACCACCCGGCTTCAAAGATGGTCTTAATAGTTTAGTATTTCTTCTAAATATCAAAGGGCTACATGGTATATGAACTCACTAACATAAGATTAGATTTAAACTTTATTTCAGCAACTCCTCAAAAGTTAAATATTTAAACTGGGCATGGTGGCACACCCCTTTAATCCCAGCACTGGGGAGGCAGAGGCAGATGGATCTCTGTGAGTTCAAGGCCAGCGTGGTCTACAGAGTGAGTTCCAGGACAGCTAAGGCTGTTACACAGAGAAGCGTGGTTTCAAAAAAAGT